TGGTTAATTTATCTGTACTTACAAAGTTCAATTTGTGTTTCAACTTTTGCAGCATATTCTTGTGTTTCTGAATATAGAGAGCAACCAAGAAAAAGAAGAAGAAATGTATTCCAGCTATAGTGCAGATACTTAGGTTTGGCTCCCTCATTTTAATATTTGAATATTTTCTTCAAAACTCTCATTTGCGTGACTCCACTTTGTAGTCACTCCTCCTAACTAAAGTTTCGGATCTGCATCCTCTTCTTCGTAGTTTCCCAAATCTACTACTTTTTCTCTTCTGCTAATTTCTATTCTTTTCTCAGCTTCTTCTTTTATTTTATTATCTCTGCAGATTCTTTTGTGTTTTCCTTTTTCCTTTGTCTTTTCTCGACCAAGGAAAAAAAACAAAAAGAAAAATCCTGAATTTGAAGCTTTTTGCATGTTTTTTTGCTATCACTTCAATTCTCTATTGTTAATGCTATCAACACTATTAATGGCATTAACAATTCTTTTACTGAGTTTGTTAATACTCAAACACAAGGACGGCTGTTATAAATCGGTTCCTTATTTCATTCAATATCCCTTGCATACAATGCCCCACAACGTCAACAACAACAGCTCCCTTACTTCTCCCCAATGTGAACATTGAAATAAAAGACATTTCCTCTGCTTCCCCACTCTCACTGCTCTCACATGTGACATGTCTCTCCTGCCACTAGGGACCCTGACCACATAAAGTCAACCCTAAACCTGCCCCAGTCTCTCATGATTTACGAACCGCTTTATCATTTTTACTTTATTTTTGAATTAAAGAAAAGTAAAGGGACGTCTACATTATACATGACGTGATATGAACATATGATATTGATATCCCCACATATGATGCCTTTCTATTCCATTTCCTTATTCTCACTGTCCTTTTCACTCCTTTCCTCCTCAGTTTTTGCTTCTCAATTTTTAAATTTTTGAATTACTATTTTCTATCTTTAGTATAAAACTTTGTTGGCTAATTTAAAAATATTCAAAAAATAATAAATTAATTTAAAGTATTTATATTTATTAATTTTTTAAAACTAATTTGCTTCATTTATAAATTGATATATAATTTAATAATACGTATAAATATTTTAGAGAGATCATGTCATTTATGTTATACTTAAGAAATTTATTAATTTTTCAATTTCTCAAAATTAATTTCTCCAAATTATAATGGATAAGATTATCATATGACGGACTTGTAACTTAGTGTGATCGCATGAGTAGTCTTGTTCATTTTGATCATCATCGAATTTATTTCTGTAATTTTTTTTCTTGAGAAAATTATTTTCTCATTCAATTTTTAATTTAATATTTAATGTTTTTCTCTCTTAATTACATATTTAATTTTAGTTGGTTAGCATTGTTAATAGTAGCTGACAGCGCAAATGGAGCAAATTTCAGGAGTTGATAATTCTAATAGAATAAAATTAAATAATTTAATTAAAAAAATACATAGATACTAAATTAAAAATTTAAAATAAAAGTATTTGTAAAAGGGTTTTTCCATTGTTTCTTGAAGTAAAAAACACCAGAAATGCTTCTTAAAATTCTACCATAAAGAACCCCCGAAGTGAAACCCACTTGCTTCGTCCGATTCCGCCGGTGCCCTTTTGCCATTTAAATAGGTCCATCCTTAACATGACACTCAATTACTTAATTTAGAGGGATTAAAAAAAATTTTAAAAATTAATTTTAAAATTTTGTAGGGATTTTTAAATTAATTTGTCTAATTTATAGACTGATATATAATCTAATAATATATATAAATATTTTAAAAAAGATAATGTAATATATGTCATAATTAATTTTTTAAATTTTTTTTTATTTTTTTAAATTAGTTAATTAAGTTGAAAAGGAGTATCAACACTCGTCAGAAGAAAGGACACACAAATAATTCTCCTAAACCGTACAATGTGTTTTCCCCCCTCATAATAATAATAATATGAACCGCAGTGTCTGAACCATTCTACATTGACTTGACTCCATTTTGTAGCCACTCCTCTCAACTAAAGCTTCAAATCTGCTTCTTCTTCTTCTTCTTCTTCTTCATAGTTTCACAAATCTCCTAATTTCTGCCTTCTGCTAATTTCTACTGCTTTCTTAACTTCTTGTTTTACTCCATCATCTCTGCAGTTTCCTTTGTGTTATATGTTTCTCGACCAAAAACATGAAGAAGAAAACAGAAAATAAAAAATCTCAACCAGAGACATTGTAGCCAATCCTTCTAACTAAAGCTTCAGAACTTTTTCTTCTTCTTCTCCTCCTCCTCCTCCATTCACAAGTCTCCTACTACTTTCTCCCTTCTGCTAAGTTCTACTGCTTTCTCAGCTTCTTCTTCTACTTCATCATCCCTGCAGTTTCCACTTTCTGTTTTCCTTTTTCCTTAATTTCTGAATTTACTGCTTTTGCAACTTTTGTTGGCTCTTAAATCTTCTTTCATGGTTTCACTGTTCGCATCACTCCTTGCTAATTCTTTCTTTCCTTAACATCTTTTGGGCATTTTGGGCTTTGCTTGTATTTCCTGATTTCTCTTTTCTCTCTGTCTCACCCATATTAAAAGAAAAGTTCTTAAGGAAATCCTGAATTTGCTCCTTTTGCTTTTCTAGCTCTTCTCTGTTGTGATCTTCAACTATATTTTTCTGGTTTTGTGATATTTCTTCAAGGGAAAAAAAATCGTAATAATAATTTTTTTTAAAAAAAACTGCTTTTTCATCATCTTTGTGATATTTTGTTGTTTAGTTGATGTTGTTTTTCCTGTTTAATTTCGCAAGTTCATCATCCTTTTTCGTAAACTTTCACATTTTATAGTTGGCTTCTATTGTTGTGAAGCGTTTGTTTCTCAAAGTTGTTCAAAACACCATAAAAAAAGACGTCTCTCATGCTTGATCTGTGTTGGAACGCTGAGGAAAGCTAATTACTATTGGGAGATTGAGGTTTACATACGCCTTGAAATTGCAAAGTTTGACATTGGCCACTACTGTAAGTTTGAAAATATAGATTTATGCCAAAGTCAGTCGGTGTTTATAAAGTTCAATTTTTTTTTCAACTTTTGCAGCATATTCTTGTGTTTCTGAATATAGACAGCAACCAACCAAAAGAAGAAGAAACCTGTTCCAACTTCCAACCATATATTGAAGGCAAGCTACTTATTAAGTTGTGGCTTCCCTAGTTTTACATGATGTCTAAACATACCCTCTGTTGTTTTTCTTTTTTTTTTTTGGGGTAAAATGGATGGGTTTCCTCCCAATTTTTCCAAAATCTTAGTTTTTCTAAAAGGAAAAATTAATCCTTTTGGTCTTATAATTTTAACTTGATTATTGCCTAAACTTTGACTCTGTAAAATTCAATCCATTAAGTATTAATTTTGTTGAAATTTTGACTAATTGTAACTTGGTTCTTGTAGCGTTTGCCATTCGAATCATTAATTAAGTAATCGCTGAGTTTGAAAAAATAGAGTTCACATGAATTAGACATTTGAATCTAATATATATTAATAACACAAGTTTGAAAATATATGTTATCAAATTATATTTTTGAATTAATTTTAAACGGCATTTTTATCGGAGAGAGTGATATTTTGGCTCAACATGTGTAATTTAACAATCAATTAATATTTTGGTATATGAAAATGAAATATTAAAAATATAAGGGAAGTATGTTTTGTATAGTTTTCAAAGCATTTTCGCAGTGCTTTGTTCTTGCCTTTCCCTTAAAAAAAGTATTTTCATAACAGCATTTAACAATCTCAAATAGCGTTATTGGATGATGTAGGTGCCATTTTGTAATTTACTTCAATTTTATCTATATTAAAATAATTATTTTAAACAAATAAAAAAAAATCAAATCCTTACTATCCAAAATGAGATATATATGGTCGAATCTGGTGAGTTCAAAACCTTTTAAGCAAGACTGGCCCATTTCCGTTTGTATAGAAGGAACTCACCTAATTTTATTTATATATTTAAAGCAACAATATGTGCATGGATACGCTTGTGTCTCAGATTTAAGCCCTTAAGAGTCTCGCCAATGTCATGTGCTTCAAATCAACTTTAAAAGAGTGCCTTCACTTCATTGGCTCCTCTATGCACAAGAGACTTTGCGTGTTGCCCCTCCTAAAGCCTCATGTCTGCTTCGTCTTCAGCATTTTCTCAGAAAATTTTTTTTCTGGATTTTTTTTCCTTTTCTGGGCACTTTTCACTAATTTCTGCTATATTTTTTTGTTCGTTCTTGTCCGTCTTCTTTCATAACAACACAGCATTCCTTCTCCTTGTTTATTGATTTCTCAACTTGTTCTTAAACATTTCTTCCGCAATTTTTGTTTTCTGATTTTTATTTTTCTTTCTCTTTTTCATATTTAAAAATAAAAAAAAATCGTAAGTTTTCTCCTCTTGCATCTTTTTGCTGGCACTTTTCCTTTATTGTGATCATTTTTCTGATTTTTATTTTTCTTTCTCGTTTTCACATTTTCTACTGCTTTCTCGACTTCTTCTTTCACTTCATTATCTCTGCAGTTTCCTTTGTGTTTTTTTTTCCTTTTGTCTTTTCTCCCCCAAAAAAAAAAAGAAAAATCCTGAATTTACAGCTTTTTGCATGTTTTTTGCTGGCACTTCAATTCTCTATTGCTAATGCTATCAACACTATTAAATCTGTTCCTTATTTCATTCAATATCCCTTATGTACAATGCCCCACAACGCCAGCAACAGCAGCTCCCTCACGTAAAGCCACTTCGTCCGCTTCCCCACTCTCACTGCTCTCACATGTGACATGTCTCTCCTGTCGCTAAGGACACTAACCAAATAAAGCCAACCCTAAACCTGCCCCACTCTCTCATGACTCACGAGCCACTTTATCATTTTTACTTTATTTTTTGAATTAAACAGGTATAAAATATTTATAAATTTTATCCTATCCATAACTATATCTAATTATAAAATGTGCACTAATTATTTTTGCTATTTCTTTTCAACAGAGCGCAAACTAAATGGATACTATTACTTGCGGTTTGGTTGAGAAGTTCCGAGACCTAGTGCTCGACCTAACTTGGGAGCAGCTTCTTTATCTCATTCACTATCGCCGAAACATTCGGCACTTCGATGAACAACTTAAGGAACTCAACCTTAAGAGATGCTCCATACAGCATCGATTAGATGAGGCTACAAACAATTTAGAACAAATTGCAGACGAAGTTGTTCATTGGTTGCTCCAAGTAGATGGGATATCAGTGAAAGTACGAAAGCTTCAAGAAAAGAGCCAGGCAAAAACAGAGTGTAGCATAACTTCATGTCCCAACCCTTGGCTACGCTATAAACTAAGCAAAAAGGCAAAGGAGATTGCACAAGAAGTTGTTGAAATTTGTGGAAAGGGAAACTTTAACAGAGTTTCATATCATATTCCTCCCCCGTCAATGCCAGAATTAACGAACAGAGACAGCAATGAAGGGATTGATTCAAGAGTACCGATTATGAATCAAATTATGGAGGCATTACGGAATCCAAGTGTTAATATGATTGGATTGTGTGGGCTTGGGGGTGTTGGCAAGACCACCATAGCTAGAGAGGTTGAAAAGAAGGTGAAGAATCAAAAGATGTTTGAAAATGTGATCATGGCAATCGTTTCCAAAGAACTGAACGTTGGGAATATTCAAGGCCAGCTTGCTGAGAAGCTGGGTATGCAACTCAATGAAAGAACTGAAGATGTCAGAGCTTCTCGTTTGTGGGAGAGGTTGAAGAAAGAGAAGAATATGCTCCTAATATTGGATGACCTTTGGGAGGAACTTGATTTGCGCAAAGTTGGAATTCCCTTTGTTGATGTTGAAAATTATAGCAGAAAGAATGAAGCTTGCAAAATTTTACTAACTTCAAGGAATAGAAGGCTGCTGTCAGATCTCATGAAATGTCAAGAAATTATCGAAGTGGGTGTTTTGTTAAAGAATGAAGCAGGGGAGTTGTTCAAGACGATTGCCGAATTTTCTATTGAATCAGGCAATCCCAATTTGAAACCTATAGCGTATGAGATTGTTCAAAAGTGCGGAGGCCTGCCACTAGCGATTGCTACAGCTGCCAAGGCATTAAGGGGAAAAAATCTAGATGAGTGGAAAGATTACCTTGCCCGATGGAAAAATCATCTAAGGCGAAATAACACAGGAATCAAAGAAGTGGATGCCTCTTTGAAATTGAGCTATGATCTTCTAAGCCAAATGAACAAAACTATTTTCTTGCTTGCTGCCATGTTAACCCATGATCCCTCAATTGAAGACCTACTCATGTACTCTGTGGGGTTAGATATTTTTCAAGGCATAGAGAACATGGAACAAGCCTATGTTGAAATCTCTTCTATTGTAAGTAGGCTAAAATCATTAAACTTATTTCTTGATAGCAGCATTTCTAGTCATCATGTTACAATCCATGACGTCTATCGACATATTGCAATATCAGTTGCACCCCTTGAATTACATGCATTCACTGTGCAGCATAGAAGGTTGACAGAATGGCCAGACAAAAATTACAGGGGAATTTGCTTACAAGAGAGTGACATTAGTGATCTTCCAGAAGAGTTGCATGGTCCAAGATTAGAATTTTTTTTGCTAAATAGCACCAAACATGATTTGGCGATGCCCAGCACGTTTTTCAAATCTTCGAAGGAGCTAAAAGTGTTGGCATTTACCAATGTGCATTTTTCCTCACTGCCATCACTCTGTTTCCTACAAAAACTAAAAACATTGTGTCTACACTCTTGTTTGCTAGAAGATATAACTGAGGTTAGAAGCTTGAAGAATTTGAAAGTTCTAAGCCTTGCTTACTCTAAAATTCAAAGGCTATCAGTTGAATTAGCAGAGCTTACATCTTTACAAATGTTGAATTTGGCACATTGCTCTGAACTCAAAGTGATTCGACGGAAACTCCTATCTAACTTCAAAAAATTGGAGGTTTTGTGGATGGAATACAGCTTTGACCAATGGAAAGTTGAAGGATCTAGCAAAGCTAATGACAATGCGAGTCTTGACGAGCTAAAGGATTTGCCAATCTCTTCTCTCAATATTTATATTCCCAAAGTCTCTATGTTGCCGGAGAACTTGTTCTTAGATATGGATTTGAAGAGGTACAGAATACTCATTGGAAGGCACTGGACACGGTGGGAAGTCAATGATGAAACTTCAAACATATTGGCACTTGAGCTTAAGAGTAATATCCATTTGAAGCCTGGGGTTCGAAAGTTGATGAAAGGAGCTGAAGATTTGTATTTATATGGATGGCTTCAAAATGTTCTTCACGGTCATGATGGAGGGGGATTTCCACGTTTAAGGCATCTCGAGATTCAAAGTGGTAATGATATAAAATCCAATGAAACTTTCAAATCACTTTTCAACAATAAGGTATGCTGACCAGATTATTTTATTCAGATTTTTTCTTATTTTATCTCACAAAACTTTGAACTTATATGCAAAAGTCATTTTCATTAGAATTACAACTTGCTTTGCTATTGGGCGATTATCGAGGTTTGCGGCTTTTTTTTTTTTAATTACTGAATATTAGCTAATAAAAAAGAAAAGCTACCTTCAAGTATTAAAATAATAACGAAGCCTCAAATTATTCGTTTTACAACCCAAAAACACGTTAATTTGATATTTTTGAGTAGGTTAAACTTGGTTTTTTAACTTTATATAGGGTTTTAATTTGGTCCCTTAACTTTAAAAAGCATACATTTAGTTCTTTAATTCTAGAATTGTTAGGTTTAAAGTATGACTTTTTATTGTTGACAAAAAAATGATGATTTTTTATGAAGATCATGCTTGTTTTGAAAATTGAACTTAATATATTAGTATTTAAAAATATTTTATCAACATCTAATATTTTAATGTCATCATTTTTTGTTAACATACAATTTTAGAGTTAAGAGACTAAAAGTGTAATTTTTAAAGTTAAGAAACCAAATTAAAACTCTCTAAAAATTTATAAGATTAAATGTATACTTTAACTTTTTGAGTATTTAAATATATGAATTGTTCTTGTCACTAGAATATTTCCGAGAATGTAGCTTATGTTTTTTATGATTAATTACCACTGTCATAAAACTTTCGAATCCCATTTCAACGGGATGGTACATTCATGTTATTTTAATTATTCTTATTTTGTTGGCTAAAATATACATTAATCTTTTAACTTCATACGAGGTTTTAATTTCATTTCTTAATTTTAAAAAATATACTTTTAGTTCTTTAACTATAAAATTATTAACAAAAAATGATGACATTGAGATGAAACATTCTCACATGAAAATATATTAAGTTTAATTTTCAAAACAATTATAGTTATTAGGGTTATATATACTTTAGCCTATTTTGTTTGTTTTAACTTTCTGACAAAACTTCAAACTTAATTACCTGCAAATAATCATTTTCACTAGAATTATTTATTTTGCTGTCAGGCTATTAAGGCATTTTGCAAGTTTGTTCTTCTTATTTTGTTTTTGTAGCGTATCTTCAAAAATTACATTCGCTGGAATTACTTAGTTTTGTATTGGGTTAGCTATTATAGCATTTTACAATTCTTTCATTTTCTTAATTACTTTCTTTTTAAATTTTTTTGGAACTTGAAATTTCAAATTGAATTTTCAGCAATCTCTTAGAAAAATAATGCCGTAGATGAGAATTTTATCTAGACTTTTAAACAATCTTTCATGAAAATTAAGCTTATTATGGGTTAAAAGTGATTCTCATTTAATCATATTTTCTATGGACTGCAGGTGTTGGTTCCAAAATTAGAGATATTGCGATTATGTGGTTCAATCGGTTTGATTCCATTAATATGGGATGACCAACTTTCACACAACTCATTTAGGAACTTGAAAACATTGTTTGTGAAAAGTTGTGGCTTTGTGAAATTGATGCCCATTCGTGTGCTGAAATCTTTAAACAACTTGGAAGAACTAGAAGTTAGGGACTGTGACACGTTGGAGTTGGTGTTTGATTTTGAAGACTTGAATGATTATAAAGAGGTAGAGTCATCATCAGTGATTGTGCCACTGAAAAAGTTAAAGCTTTATCAATTGCAAAAATTGAAGAATGTGTGGAGCGATCACTATAAAGGAGACGTCTCCTTCCCAAGTCTAAGGAGCGTGCATGTTTCCTATTGTGATAGCCTCACAAGTCTGTTTCCTGCATCTATAGCCAAAGGCATGCTTCGTGATCTTGAAGAGCTTCGAATAGAATATTGTGGTATAGATGTGATTGTTGCGAAGGATCAAGTTTCAGAATTTGTTGCTCCTCTGTTAGAGTTTCCCAGGTTGACTTTCCTTGAGCTTTCTTCGCTTAGAAATTTGAGGAATTTCTATCCACAGAGACACACATTAGAATGGCCACATCTTTGTCGATTATCTATTAGCAGTTGTGGTGAATTGGAGATATTTGAAAAGGAAGTCTCAAGTTCATTAGAAATACACGAGGAAGGGAGCTCATTAGACTCAAAATATCCTCTACTGTCCCAATGCAAGGTACATCTCTAAATTAGCTATTCACGCGTTATTTATTTTAAAAACAATCCAATAAAAGAGCAAAAGATTAACTTTAAGCATTAAAATAAATGATGAAACATATTTTGTTTCACAATCTAAGAGCACGTTTGAATTTGATATTTTTGAGTACTCAAGTATGTGAATTATTCCTGTTACTAAACCATTTATTAGAATATAATGTAGTTTAGGATTAATTTGGTTATTCACTTAAAAAGCTAAAAAGAATAATTCATAATAATTATTTTAATTAATAATAGATATTAGAAATTAATTAAATAATTTTCTATTTTTTCTTTTTTAAGAAAAGTGGGACTCCAATTCTCGGCTTTCCATCTTCACTGAAAAGAGGTGTGTCATTGAATCAAGGGAGGGGATTTTTTTTTCTTTTTTCAAGCCATTATTAGCTTTAATTTGATTTTTTTTTTTTAAACAAACGAAGGAACCAATAACGTTTGTAGGTCATAATCAAAGGTAGAAAGTCCAGTCTAGAAATTTATATTCATTTTAATGTATCATAATTATTATTTGTAGTTACAAAATACATGTACACAGCTGGATTTTGACGCATTGATTAGTTGTTGCATTTAGTTATGATTTATGTATTGTGCAGGTCACTCATAATTTGGAGGAGTTGACATTAGAGGGTAAAGGAGCTGAGATGATAGGGAGTGGCCAGCTTTCAATGTATCACTTCCCCAAAGTAAAACTGCTTCTTCTAAATGTTGGTTATAGAGCAATGACTATTTCATACAAATTGTTGTGGAAGAGCTTTCCAAATTTAGAGGAGCTGAAACTGCAGGGTCACATTAAAAAGGCTTCTGGAGGGGATGATGTTCATCTCCCAATTAAATTTAGTCTTGAATGTATTGCCAATATCACGAGCTTGGTACCACTCTTAGTTTCTTCGCCAAATCTCACACATCTCCACGTGGCATATTGTTTTCAGTTGACCACTTTGATGACGTCATCAGTTGCTCGAAGCTTGGTTCATCTCACAAGTCTCTCAATTAGCAACTGCATTGAAATAAAGGAAATTATATGGAAGCAGGAAGGAGAGGATGATGACGATGAGGAAGTCGTTTTCAGCAAGTTGCAGTATTTGAGACTCGAGAAACTGTCAAGATTGAAGAGATTTTGCGGCTACAATTTTACTTTCAGGTTTCCATTATTGGATCAACTGATCATAACAGAATGTCCAAAATTCAAAGTATTTTCTCCAGGACTCATTGATACACCATCTCTTAAAAGCGTTCAAGTATCACAACATCAGATTGGAGAACATCATGAAATTTGGGACACCAATCTTAACAAAACAATCTACCAACAGGTACGTCTAGAATGCTCTATTCTTCCTATTTCTAGCTTTTACAAAAACACGAATCTATAAATGTTCCATTCTTATGATATTTAATACTCCTCCAGTCCTTAATATAAGACTTATTTAATTAATTTGATTAGATTAAGAAAGTTAGGTAAGTTAGTTAATTATAAGAAATATGACATGTTTTTTCTAAAATACCATAATCATCTTTCTTGATATCCTCCTTCTCTCTCTTCTATTTGATTATGGCTGAAAGAGTATCGTAGAAGTAATTTAGAAAAAATTGATAAATATGAGAAATAGGTTTTATATTTAGGACTAAAATTAACTCAACAATTAGGTCTTATATTAAGGATCGGAGGAGTATAAATATACCTATACATATTTCGGTTTTGAAATTTCTACTAAAATTCAAGTTATCATTTTTTAATTACATAACTTTAATTACAAAACATCCCAAACAATTAAATCATAATTAATCAATTAATTAATGGGATACACATCAAAATGTTTCAGTAAGAAAGGATTTCCTCCCCCCCCAATATGCTTTTATCTATGAGGAGGAAAGTAAGAGAGAGAAATAGAGTAATAATGAGAAAAAGTATGAAAGATAAAATAATATACCAAGTTGTCAGCTTTTTAATTAATGCAATGTCTAAAATTAATTAGAGGTAAAAATAGTAAAATATGTTAAATGTTTAGACAAATTTAAGTAGACTCTTATAAATAAAACTAAGACCATTCAAATTTCAAGTTTTTATAAAAAGAAATGGGGGGTAGTTATCATTTTTTAATTGCATAACTTTAATTACAAAACATCCCAAACAATTACATCATAATTTAATAATTAATGGGATACACAGCGAAATGTTTCGGTATTACTGTTTTGTGTCTTGGCTAATAAAATTGTTTCTTTTCCAAGATTAATTATGAAAATAAATGAAATCAAAATGTTTGACACTTCTTTGATGGGGAAGAAAATGGGCAATAAAATTATTCAAAATTTTCTTTCCCTCAATGAGTGCATTTGACCTTGGAACACAATAAAAAACAAAATAATATTATTGATTGAATAAGAAGTTACGACATAATTAATAAATTAATATTACTATGCTTCTGATTCAAAATTGTTTTACAGAGATTTGTGGCGTCAAGAGAGGCGGTGTTAGATGAGGATGATGTTAGCACGATAAGGAATGACCAATTTCCAGTGGACAGTTATCCTCAAGTGAAAATTCTTCGCATAGAAGGATTTGATGATGAAGGGGTAACATTTCCGTATACATTGCTTGAAAGATTTCCGCAGCTGAATGAACTTCATGTGGAGGATAGTTCCTTTGAGGAGATATTCCCATCACCCATTGTTTATCAGATTCCACCATTCAAGCAACTCCACCTTGTCAATTTGGATCGTCTCAAGAACATATGGGCTGATGATTCTGACTTGAATATTACATTGGCACCATCAAATTCCACTTTATTTCATAATTTGACAGTGTTGAAGGTGTTGCGATGTCATCAACTCGTCTATTTAATGACAAATTCAGCTGCCAAAAGTTTGGTGAATCTTGAAATGTTGGAAATAGAAGATTGCAAAAAGATGGAGGAAATTGTAAAGAATGAGAGTAATGAAGATATAGAAGTGGAATCACATTCAGTGCGCTGAGACCTGAGAATATTAAAACTCAGTGCTAGCTCTACCAAGATTGAAAGCAGAAGAGCACAAGACGGATTTCAACAATGAAGACCCAGCAACAAATAATCATAAGGCATGTTCAAATCAATTTACGGTAAAATATACGAATTAGCTGCATGTTTACTTAAATTATAGAAACCTTTTTTTTATTTTGAAATTGTATATAAATCTTCCTTAAAATTAAAATGTATGTTGTACAAATCTTCTTTATATATTTAATTTGAGATTTCATTTCCATCATCTAATCCTTAGTTGACTGTTAAGCTTAACTTTTAATTTTTGTTTTGACCCAAACACCCTTCCTCCACATAAAAATTCTTTAAACATTTATATCTTTTTAAGAAATAATTTTTTTATACCACCAAAAAAAATTTAATAATATTTTCAAAATTTTTAAAATGTAATAAAATTTATTAATTTTGATTATATTATAAAATTTTATAATTTTAATTCTTTGTCACACATTGAAATTTATTTATTTAGGTTTCTTTAAATGGTTATATGTCGAATACATATTCTTTTCGTCATATAACATAAATTACCTAAGTTTGAGAGATTATAACATTTATATAAATTTATACTTTGAAACTTTTAAATAAATTAGAAACATTTATAATTTACTTAGTCAAGTATATATTTATTTAAAGAATTAATCAAATTTCCATTCAATTTTTTAACGTTTCAATCTCAATATGATAAAAACCTTTCTTCTATATTTAATTTGAGATTCCATTTCTATCCATCCAATTGGATCGTTTTGACTTGTAAACTTTTGTTTTGACCAAACCATCATTCCTTCACATTAAAGTTATTTAAACATTTATATTTTTTTAAAAAATAATTTTGATACCACAAAAAAAATAATTTTAATAATATATTTTCAAAATTTTTAAATATAATAAAATTTATTAATTTTGATTATATAATATAAATTATCTAAGTTTGTGAGATTAAAAATTTTATTTAAGTTTATATTTAGAATTTTAAAATAAATTAGAAACCTTTATAACTTATTGAGTCAATTACATATTTATTTAAAGAATTAATCAAATTTCCATTCAAGTTTTTTCCGTCTACATTAACTAAATTATTTATTTTCAATGCCAATATGAAAAAACATTGAACAAATAACTAGTTGCAAAAAGTTAAAAAATAAAATTAAGGAAAAGGAAGTATTTTAAAATTTTTAAAACTTTTTAGTCAAAATTTAGGAATTTAGTATTATGAAGGGTAAATTAGTAAATCAGAAGTATTTTAATGTAAATTTAATTAGAAAAATACCTTTTTAGAATATTCTCAACAGATTAATTGTTTGGACTTAAAGTTTATGTTCTCAAAATAGAGAGAGAATATGTAATAGGGCAAAATACAAATATTATTGTTTTTTCTAGACAAAAGATTAATTTTTTTTTCCTTATCTTGTATATTTCTTTCTTGCCAAGCTTTTCTTATCTTATTAACTTCTTAATTCAAACTTATGCTGGGAAAATTAATTTCACTAGAATTATTTACCATGTTCAGTAAAAATAGGAAAAATGATATTAAGGTCCCACAGAAGAGAAATACTACTACAAAAAGGTCCCTTCAAATCTGATAAATACTTAGGAGTCCCAAAGGGACTTGGTTGCAATAAGACAAATCATGAAAAGACTATGCTGTCCCTACTGAAATGAAATCTGATTTTGAGCCCTATCCTATTTGCATATTGCTATCTCAGTGTCATCTCAAAAACTAGAGCTAAATCAACCATCATCGGAAGCAAGGAACCTCAAATCTATTTACCTTCACTGTAATCATTGAAGATTGTTTAGGTATAGGGCATCATTGAAGTTGTTTATGGTCGAAACAAAGCTGTTATTGTCAGCATCTCTGTGTTCATCTGTGTTTTTCATTTATGACAATGTATTCCTTTTGTTTCTCTACAAATTTTTTGAGTTAAAAATGTTACACTAAGACCTTTAGGTTGATGATTTAAATTGGGATTTCATTGTCGATGGGCAAAATGATGATGGATGCTCTGTTTTTAGTGATATTGTGGGTGGTTTTAATCTGTTTTAGTATGGTTTAGCATGAAAAGCTGAAGAAGATGAAAGTTGGTGTGGGTAGAAACCTTTTCTGCGACATGGGATATTGTGTTTTCAATGTTGGCTGTGAAAGTTGTTAATGGATGCTGCGATAGTTGTTAGTAGGGCGGCTTCACTTGTCAATAACAACTGGATGATTGTTGATGCAAGTTTACATTACTGATAGCCAGTATGTCTGGTAAGCATTTATTTTGCTTTGTTTATATAAGGGATAAATTTATAAATGATGGAGAAGATGATATAAGATATACTGGAGGTAGTGGAAGAACAACAAGTATAAAAGAAGGGACATGTTATGAAGAGTGTAACTGAAATTGGGTATATCGATTGTGCTTGTAAAATGGCATTTTGTATTGAAGTCATTAAATGCTGTGATAAAAATAGTTGATGAGACTATGGTTACAATTTACGATACCACTTTTGACAATTTAATGTGGCTGTATTGACAAGTAAATTATGAAGTTAATATCTATGGACTAGTGAGCAAATAGTATTATTGTTTTGTATTAAATTCATGGATAATCTAATTCCATGCAGCCTATTACTTAATGTGAAGGTGTTATTTATTTGAAATTTTCAATTAAATTATGTTTAACAAAGTAACTCTAAAAATGACATTAAATGGCATAAAATTTAACAAGTTACAATGGCCTTATTAACAAGTCAACGTATGGATATTAACAATTGATATTAAAAACTTTCAAATAGAAGGTGTCATTTATTTAAAATGTTTAATTAAGTTATATGTAACTTAAAATGAAAATATTAACCAAAAGGTATAACCAAAATTTATGTTAATTGGATAACAATTTTTCAAAATTTGACAAGTGACAATACCACCAAGTCATAGTGCCACCGTTGACAAGTCACAGTGTGTTTGTTGACAAGTTTGATAACGCTCAATTCGTTGCGGTGCCCGGAGTAATCCACTGCAGCCTCTAACGCAGAAAAAAGGAGAGACATTCTGTAATAGGCACTGTGGCGCTCAAATGAATCCGCCACGGCACCTGGATGAAATTCTATGCCCCTGATTTCATAGTTAACAAGTCACAGTGCCACTATTGACAAGTCATATTACTACCGTTGACAAATCAAATTGTAATTACAATTTATTGATTTTTTTTAAAGTTAACAAATGTCACATTAGTTTAGAGGATATGTCAATATTAAAGACACTATATAACTTGAAATCACATTTTTTTAAATTTATATATGCAGTTATATTAACAAGTGATAGTGCAGTAGATGACAAGTGACATTATCACTATTAACAAGCGATAGTGTAGTTAATGACAATTCATTTTATAATTTTATATCAGTAATGACATACTTTTAATAATGATTATATACAATATTATAACCAAAATGTAATATGTCAGAGTAATTGAAAACATCTCATGATGCTAAAACCCATTATATAACTTGAATTCACATTTTAGCTAACTTACATCAGTGAATTAATTGACAAGTCATAATACAAGCAGTGACAAGTCAAAACATGTCTATTGATAATGCAGGGTGCAATAATTACAACTCAATTGACAGCAAAGTCTAACACATCAATTTATAACCAACTTTCATTTACACCTTCATATACATGGAACTTCACTTATTTCACAACCCATCTAAAAAAACCATATGGGTTGCATGTAATTACTAAACGAACTGTTGGTATGTATCCATTTACAAAAAAAAAAAAATCCATTCACACTCATTTACAAAATATTCTTTTCACATCCATATATAAAAAATAGCTGACTTCAATATGTTCTCAGCTGAGATTTGGACTCTTGTTAATGTTGCACTTCAAGTTATTAATCACAATTGAAGAAGCTAAATTTGACCTTCCCCAGTGAGAAACAAGCAAGTTGTCCTATGCATGATGAATGTGTTCACTTCTATATGCTCTGATGGTTAAAAACACAATATCTTGATGTGTTCCCATTGAGTATGCACCCATATACCATGGATAACTATCAACCTTACACTTCACAATGATCTTTTGTTGATTATTCTTGATAAATTTGTACAAAAACTTCTGTGATATGTTGTACTTGTATAATTTTATTCTTGCACTACTTCCAATATATCTCATATCATCTTTTCCATTATTTATAAATTTAACAAAGCAAAATAAATGCTTCCCAAATGTACTGACCATCATTAATGTAAACCTGCATCAACAATCATCCAGCTGTTATTGACAAGTGAAGCAACATTACTGACAACTATCGTGGCATCAATTAACAACTTTCACAGCCTATATTGACAACACAATATCTCATTTCGCAGAAAAGGTTTTTACCCACAGTAACTTTCATCTTCTTCAGCTTTTCACACTAAACCATGCTAAAACAGAACAAAGCCACCCATAATGTAACAAAAAACAGAGCATCCATTATCATCCTACCCACCCACAATGAAACCCCAACTCAAATCACAAACCCAAAGGTCTTAATGTAGCATTTTAAACTCAAAAAATTTGCATAGAAATAAAAGGAATACATTGCCATAAATGAAGAACACGGATGAAAACAGAGATACTAACAACAACAGCTTTGTTTCTACCATAAATAGCTTCAATGATGCCCTATACGTAGACGATCTTCAATGATTACAGCAAAGGTAAATAGATTTGAGGTTCCTTGCTTCCGATGAGAGTTGATTCAGTGTTGGTTTTTGATAGGAGAGTAAGATAGCAATAGGCAAATAGGAATAGGTTTCAAAATCATATTTTATTTCAGTAGAGACAATATAGTCTTTTTATGATTTGCCTTATTGCAACCAAGTCCCTTTGGGACTCCTAAGTAGTTATCAGATTTGCAGGGATCTTTTTGCAGTATTTTCTCTTCTGTGGGACCTTAATGTCATTTTCCCGTAAAAATA